ATATTTGGTTAGACTTCCTCGAAATCTTAGCATCTGTAGTCAACAAACAGCTGCCAAAATTATATTTTATTGCTGCCGACAAAAACCTATTTTATTGTCCAGCGCAGCTTGTGGAATAATTTTTATAATGCGCCGCCTATTTATCAAGAAGAAAAAAGTATATGATTGAAAAGAATGAAATATAAATTGTGGATGTTTTTCCGGGATATTTATTCTCTAGAATTGTTTTGGGTTTTAAAAGAAAATTATTTACATTTTCGGATTTCTTGACTTCACACCTATTAATGTGTGCCGCTGTGTACATATGTTTGTAAATATGATGTATAATTGTTACTCCGCTTATGTTCACGCTAAAGTATGTAGTTTAATAAATAGTTTTGTATGGTCTTTAATTATTTTTAATTACATTCATCGGACTCATTACACATTAATATACCGCTGCATTGCTATGCAGTATGTATCTACATACAAGTAAATAATATTATTTAACATACATTTTTTCTATATATAGTGCAAGTTCACAGGTATTATTACAGGGACTTTTTAAACCCAATAATTGAAAGTTATTGAAAATAAACTTTTGTTTTATAAGAAAGAAAAAAAATATATATTATAGTGAAATAGTTGTATGTAAATTTTAAAACGGCAATAAAAAGTTAAACATTTCTTTTCATTTAAATTAAAGTCATTTTAAATTAATATACTGTTAGTTACATACGGATTTTAGTCGATGGAACGGGAAATTGAAAATAACTCATCAGTTCAACGCCACCCTACCTTTACTTCTTAGCATCCCAACTTTTAAAATTAAATATATTTTTGACGGATAATTTTTGTTTTGCACTTTCCACATACAACAATGAAATCTTGTTGCTGCAGTCCCTGTTAAATTTACGACCGTCAATTTAGTTGTATTTTCAGTATTGTATTCTGTTGCTGTTATTGTTGTTTTCGGTTTATTTGCTATTCGTTGCATTTTTGCCTTCGTGAAGTGCTTTTCTTGCTGTGTTGATCGCCTTTTTTCGCACTCAACTAGAGTACGCTTCTGCTGCTGCTGTTGCTGCTGCCGATGATATATTTGTTGTTGCTGTTGTCGTTGACAACATTGTACAATTATTCTCTCAATTAATTGTGCTTTCGTCGTTTCATTACGCGTCCGATATTTTGTTTGCTCGACTGCAAGTGCCGCCCATGCATGGCAAACATTTCTTGTTGCTGTTGTTGTGTTTGCTGCTCCAGCTGCTTTTGTTGTGGTTACAACTACTTTTGAAGTTGCTTCATCAACACTTGTCCCACTTGTTGTTATTATTTGCCCTTTGGCCTTCAGCATGGTGCTTTCTTCTGCAACTGTTGTTATTGTTGTTTTCGTCGCTGGCTGTATTGCTGCTGTTGTTGCCTTTGATGCTTTTTTTCATGCCAAATAAAGAATTTTTTGTATAATTGGTGAAAATATCGTAAAGTATACCAAGCCGCCTGCGTTAGTGCTGTCCAACGTATCAGCAACAATGACAGGCAATGACAGTGTTACTGTGTTGCACCATTTGCATTCAAGGATGAGACAGCGCCTGAATAGAGATTATATATGTACATGTACATACATATACAGACATATATATAAGGTTGTCAAACATCTTTTGTCTTTTGAATTTCGCGGCTATGTACAGAGCGCTACAGAGCTCGTATCTGGCAACACTATACCTAATTTGAAAGGTCTTGACATAACCTACAAAACATTGGATATTGCGTTGAACAGTTATAGACGTGTAAACATGGAGTTTACTACCGCCGAAATTCGCACTATTTTAAAGTTTTCCTTCGTCAAAGGCAAATCCGCTTGAGAAACGTTCCGTGGGATTAATTGTGTTTTGGGGGATGGTACTCTATCACTTCGAACCGCGGAGGAATGGTTTCGACGAATGGTGAAAACGAAACCATGGATAAGCCAGCCAGCGGAAGACCTGTGACGACAAATACCGATCAAATCAGGAATACATCGAGTTAGACCGGCATATGGGATCTCGTGACATCGCCCAGGAGATGGGAGTTAATCACCAAACCATTTTGAACCATCTTCAGAAGGCTGGATACAAAAAAAGTTTGATGTTTGGGTGCCGCATAATTTGACGCAAAAAAACCTTCTGGACCGAATCAACGCCTGCGATATGCTGCTGAAACGGAACGAACTCGACCCATTCTTGAAGCGGATGGTGACTGGCGACGAAAAGTGGATCACATATATATATCACAATATCAAGCGACACGGTCGTGGTCGAAGGAAGGTTTTGCTGTGTGTTTGGTGGGATTGGCAGGGAATCATCCACTATGAGCTGCTCCCATATGGCCAGACGCTTAATTCTACCATCCACTGCGAACAACTGAACCGCTTGAAGCAGCCGATCGACCAGAAGCGTCCAGAATTGGCCAACAGGAAGGGTGTAGTGTTCCACCAGGACAACGCCAGACCACACACTTGGTTGATGACTCGTCAGAAGCTACGGGAGCTCGAATGGGAGGTTTTATTGCTTCCACCATATAGCCCGGACGTAGCGCCAAGTGATTACCACCTGTTCCTGTCCATGGCGAATGCCCTTGGTGGTGTGAAGTTGAACTCAAAAGAGGCTTGTGTAAAGTGGCTGTCCGAATTCTTCGCAAATAAGGAGGGGGGTTTCTAAGAGGAAGGTATTGTGAAGTTGCCATCTAGATGGAAACAGATCATCGAGCAAAACGGCGTATATTTTAACTAAATCCCATCACTGTAACACTTTTTATAAAGCATTGAATGAAGAGCAAAAAAGCGGAAGGGAGATATTTGACAACCTTTATTTGAATGTTTTTTGTTATAAACATATTCATACAATGTAAGTACAGCGATACCCCGACATACGAGTACCCCAACATAAGAGTTTTTCGAGACACGAGCCGACGAGTCAGTGATTTTTTGTTTTTAGTTACGAGCGAAATTCGAGATACGAGTTCGGTGCGGTTCGGTAGTAACATGCCGTTTGCGCTTTGTGTTGCGTTTACATTTACAGTTGTAGTTCATTTATTTTAATAACCATGGACCGGGAGAGAGTTTGTATTTCTTCAAGTGAGATAAAGGAGATCTTAGCAATGCGAGAAAGTCTCAAAAACACCTAGAAAAAGTTGCAACAGGTCGTGCATCTGACCTTTTTATGACACTTGCCTAACTAATTTCCGGAACATTCTGAAAAGGAGGAGGAGACAAACTCCTTGGACATGTTTTTTTCTAAACGGCCTACAAGTAAAAGCGAGAAAAATGTAGCGAAAAAGGCAAAAAACAGTGAGGATATCTAATTTATTTGTTTACATTCTCTTTTTGGTTTTTGCGCAATAAATATTTGATATTTATAAATACGTTTTTATTATTCAAAACCACGTAACAAAAATAACTGGGTTGGAACGGATTAACGGTAGTTCAAATGTTTTGCTTGGGGAAATTTTCTTCGAGATACAAGTAATTTAAGATACGAGCAAGGTTGCGGGACGAATTAAACTCGTATGTCGAGGTACCACTGTATAAGCAAATGCGTATAATTGTTTGCACCAAAATGGAGGGAAATTTATTTGGTATTCCACTTAAGGAAGCAACAAGAGAGAGGTATTCTTTGTACAAACTTTCAACAGACGTGAGAGACCAGATAAATTTCCTTAATACTAAAGACAAGCTCTGATATTGATTGCCTTTAGTATTTGCTTCCCATACATGTATTTGTTAGAAAGTCCAAACAAATGGTAAATCCTTGTCTTCCTTAAGCTGGAACATTCCAAAAACTCATTCTAACCACAGAAATTCATAATTACAGTTATATTAATTTACTAGGTACGAACCATAGAAAAAAACCGTGTTAAATTGCTTCCTGAGAATAGAATAAAGTTAATGGAAAAAACATTTAGTGATCCAATTTTGAAATGGGAGCTTCTAAATCTGTTTTCATATTCCCTTATTTGTATATCTATGCTTCTACCGAAAAATAAAACGAGAATTGAATTATAACAGCCTTTAAATACATACATATGGCTCCGTTTATGTAATTCCGTGAACTCAAAAACTTAATCTCATATAAAGGGTGATCCAAGTAGAGGTATTTTTTGACAAATCACGCATGAGTCTTGTCAAGCTGCTATTTTATTTTTGTTCAGGACTGTTTGACATTTCATCAAGGAAAGACTTACGTCTAAATAACGTTTACAAATCGTACAATTTTATTACGAAAATTCCGGTTATGTAAAGAATGTGTTTCGCACGCTTCGCTCAACTTATGGTGTGCAAGACCCTCGCCCATTAAAACCGAGCATTTATTATTGGATAAGCTTCGGCCGAATAGACCACGTCCATTATGCAGTGATGAAAATATTGCAGCCGCAGCTGAGAAGACCGTGGTGAGTTGATTCGGCGAGAGCTCGCAGCAACTCCGACTAACGGAATAATATATAGAATAATTTGGCGTAATTTGTGTCGAGATCCTAAATTAAAAGTATACAAAATACAGCTTGTGCAAGAACGAAAGCCGTTAGTGTTTCAGGTTTGTGGGCCGATGAAATCATCGGTCCATGTTTCTTCAAAAGCGATGCCCGTGAAAACGTAACCATCAACGGCGATGATAACCGACTATTTGATGCCCGAACGATTCGCGTTATGTGCCGATTCTTTGGAAGATATTACACTCTTTCCTGTGGAGATATGTAAAGTCCAAAGTCTATACGAACAATTTCGCTTCGATTCAGGCCTTGGAGCGCGTCATTAGAAAGTTACCAGTCGATTAAGTCATCAAAAATAGCACTAAACGTACGTACGTAGAACGAAATATGGCTGCGGCCAATATTTGGACAAGATAATCTACAAAACATAAATGCCAAAGAATATTCTTTTGAATGATTATAAACACTCCCAATTAAACTTGAAGTTTCTGTGTGTGTTTTTTTAAGTAGGGAACCTCGAAATGGATCAATGGAAAGAAAAATACAGCTGAGGTATTTTGTTATTCTGTAATGTTACATTTTTTATAGCTTATTATAAACTGTTTTCAATTGTACTTACCCTTTATGTGTGTCATATAAGTATCAGTATCAGTATTTTTCATATTAAAATTATCATCTGAGAAAGTATTGACAGAATTTATATTATGATTATGACGTTCCTCTTCTATTGATTTCCAATACACATCGTGTATGTGAGCAGTGCCGCGTATCTGACAGAGATTAAAATATGAAATGGAAACTAATAACTTATCTCGTCTATAGGGATCAGCTGAGGCAAAGGTTAAATCAACATATGTGCATGTGTAAGTTTACGTTAAAAAAAGGGCTAGATAAAATGACTAATAATAATAATAATATTAACAATAATTTGGCGCATTGTAACGAGCTTTTTAATGTTTTTCCAACAAATCGAATGCTTTTTATGAAATACACTCGAGGGTTGGACATTCCCTGCAATATTAATTTTCGAACCAGGATTCTAGACTTTCAGTTGCAATGATAACTACTAACTGCTAACTACTAACTACTAACTACTAACAGTTTGGTGACTTTCAATTTGTTTTTTGTTAAATCTAAAAATACCAAATCTTTTGCAATCACGTCATTAGTCTTCCTTTTAAATTTAAGAACGACAATCTAAAATGGAAACGAGAAAACGCTAAGTAGCTAAAGATAGGCCACACGAAATTCCACTACCAATGCAAACAGAAATTTGCCGTGTGAATCTCTTCGGGTTTCGGCGTAATTTACAGCAAATACAAATACTCAGTGAATGCCAAATTACATACAGAACAATTGGACCGTCTTTAAAGACTATTTCAAGGTGGTTTCAAAGATTCCACACCGGAGGGCGGGCCCCGTCTTCCACTGATGACGTCTCTGTAGCTCTGGCGAAGTCTGAAATTGACGAAGACTCACGATTGACACAAGATATGAATGCTAATGAATTGAGCTTGAATGCAATGGCTGCATCGCAAATATTAAGTAATCAGCTGGGATACACGAGGAAACCTGCTCGATGCGTACCAAGAATTTTAAATGAGGTCCAAAAAGAGGTTGGGGTGCGCAAAAAAATTCGAAAATGGTTAGTCTATCAACTTTAGTAAAGTCGTTACTGGTGCTTGGTTTTATAAGTACGGCCTAGAAACCAAACAGCAGTCCACGGTATGGAGCCCAACAGGAACAAACCCACTCCTAAAGTCTAAGTAAAGAAATCAGCAGCAAAAGTAACGATGTCAGTTTACTTCACCCGATCTAAAATAAATGGTGATTTTTAAAGAGCTATAGGAAAGTTTAGAAAAAAATACATAAAATTTAGAAAAAATGCATGAAATTTTGATTTGATTCTATAGTACGGTTGCTATTGTATAATTTAATGTTTAAGGATTATTTCATGTAAATATTGACCGTGACTGCGCCTCAAATGATCCATCTGTTTGGTCCATTTTTAGCATACTCTTTCCAACATTTCGGCCGGTATCTCAGGAATAAATGCTTCAATGTTGTCCTCCAATGCGCCAATTGAAGCGGGCTTATCTGTATAGACATTATATTTAACATATCCCCACAAAAATAATTTAAAGGCGGTAAATCGCACGACCTAGGCGGTAAATTGACCGGTCCCGAACGTGAAGTAAAATGCTCACCGAACTCGCCTCTCAATGAGTCCATTGTTACACGTGCTGTGGCATGTGACACCGTCTTGTTGAAACCACATGTCATTCCAGTCAAGCTATTGCATTTTGTGTAAAGAAAGGTTTGATTTCATCTCACGGTAGCGCTCACCATTCACAGTTACGTTGCGATTCGTAAAGTACGGTTTAATGATGCCATAAAGCGCAATCTTCCGGCTGATCTTCACTCCAAAATCAACAATTCTGTTTATTTACGCACCCATCATGCTAAAATTGAGCTTCGTCGCTGAACACAATTTTTCGATAAAAAAGTGCGCGATGAACTTACTTAACAGAGCACGCTTTGATAATAAAATTTAATTAATTTGCTAGAATTGTTCGTTTGTAAGACCTCTCATGGTTAAATTATAGACCAAACTGAAGATTTTTGACAGTGCGCCATTCCATTATTACGATCTCTGGCATCGAAGAAATACGTCCAGCAGCATGTTCCCCGGATTCCTGTTTATTTCCAAAAATTATAAGAAAATTAAACGGAAAGGTCTTTAATAGCAACGAGGAGATAATTAACGCAGTCAAAGCTGAACTTATAATCTTGAAAAGCAAGTTTTTTAAGATTGTTTTCAGAAGTGGATTTAAGGGCTTAAAAAATGCAACGCATTTTTTTCTGGTCAACTTACCGAACTTTTTTTAATCCCCTCGCCTGTATTAAACTTCGCATACGTACTCATAAGTTGCCAATATTGCACTAATAGCCCAGCTGTTGCAACGTTTTGTGTTAATTTTGCAATACTACAAAATTCTTCTTTCATTTTTTTTTTTAACATTCTTCGGCGTTAGTTAGCGAATATGAATGGCGCACACAAGCAATAAACCGCTTCAGCATTTGAAACAGCGGGTGACTGGTGAATAAGGCAAATATATGAGTGGCAAGACGGCAATGCAAGTAAAAGAGGAAACATTTTTTTGTAGGACGCATATTTTTTTGTTGTTTTTGACGGACACAAAACGCAAGTGTGCAAAGGAAACAATTAAATCGCATCAAATGGCTCAAATGGCGCTTGTGTGCTCGTGCGTGTAATATGTGATTGTGTGTGCTACCAAACTGAACTGCATTCATTTCAGCCAATTAAATGTAACAAATGTTAAATTGTTTATTTGCTTTTATGATCGTTCGTTTTACGCTCACACATAAATACTCGCAGTTACTCCTTCTTGAAGCAACTAACGGTACTTTGTTACATCTTCAAGTCTGTTAGCATGGTTTTTACTTTTGTGGTTAAATAGCAACGTGACCTCATAAAAACTGACCGTGACTACGTGGCGTAGTGTTTTTAAAGGAACAAAAGCCAATTTTTTTACTTTTAGAGTAATATTGTTGATATTTGTTCGTGGGCATTTTAAGTCAGTATATGCTGCTGCTCTTGACCAGCTAAACTACCATTTGAAGTCTTTCTATGTCACTAAGTAGCTTAATTAGCGGTGCCTGTTTGTTGTGAGGCACGCCCACTCATGTCTGCTGTGTCTTGATTGTCTTGTGAAACACTCGCTGCTGCCGTTATTGGCATAAAGCGTATTTAAATGCATGTAGCCATTTGGTTAGTATTGCATTGTACTAATACTCGGAAGGCCAAGGTTCATATCCTTGTTCAAAAATTATAGAAAATTAATTTCCTCGGCAGGAATGTCTAGCCCTTCGAGTGTATTTCTGACATGAAATACAAATTTACTCATAGAAACCTATCAACCATTCGGAGGGGGCTTAGTATAAACTGTAAGACTTTCTATTTGTTGGAAAAATATCAAGACGTAAAACCAAAAATTAGACGAGGAGCTCTGCCAAAAATTCCTTCAGCGGTTTTTATTATAAGTTACTATTATAATAAATAACAACACTATGTTTTTTATTTGGTTCGCTTACCTTTAACTTCCCACCACTGAAATGTTTCGGCGTCACTACAAAGTGTATTCCTGAAACAGCCATTTCCAACTCTCGCGGCTTTCGCATTGGCTTGCGGTGTCGTATGTGTGAGAGATTGATCTGCAAATAAAGAGCATATTTTTGCTGATTAAAAAGTTTTTCTTTGTTGTTGATAGGTTAATGATAAAAAAGACCAGGCTAAAGTCGATATTATGTATACTTGCTCTGACCACTATTAATTCGCACGGCTGGTGTTTTTACGCATATGCAATGTTTAGCATACAAAATATGTGAAGATAATGCAGACAACACATACAAATATATATTTTTCTGAAAGATAATTTTATTCTCTATTTGTTAGAAAAAAATTTTTTGTTGTTGTTCAGCGTACAACAAAAACAGCAGGCAAGAAATATGGGACTCTATTTCAACAGAGCAGTGCCAATACCTGCTTAATTCAATGCAGGATCGTTGTAAATGTGTTATAGAGGCTAAGGGTGATGTTACCAATTATTACTCGTAATATTAAGTATATATATTATATTAAGCCAAATAGACTGTAAAGTTTGTAGCGTACGAAATAATAGTGGTCAAGCGTTTGTAAACAATAATAAGAATAGTGTATGTAAATAAATGCTGTTGTTGTTGTACGTTAAATAACAACAAATTTTTTTTTCTTTCATATAGAGAATAAAATTATCTTTCAGAAAAATATATGTTTGTATGTGTTATCTGCATTATCTTTACATATACTCGTATTGTGTGCTAAACATTGCATATGCGTAAAAACATTGACCGTGCGAATTAATAGTGGTCAGGGCAAGTAATAGTTAATGACGAAGTTGATTAAAATTTCTGAATCTCAAAAGCCTTTAAGTCTGAACAATTTTTTTTTTTTAACCGAGAACAAATAAATAAACCACATATGAATCAAAAATGCTAGTTTTCGAAAAAAATCCATATTTAAAATGTTTTATTCTGAATGACTGAGGGATTACCCCACAGCCGACACCACTTTTCGTAGAGATCTGAAACTTGAAGGGTGTAACTAGCGACGGAAACTATCTGCTGAATTTATTTCTAAATGGTTTTATTTACATGGAATATGATACACAGGTAACTCGTTGCCTAAATTATCATGGGGAGCACTTTTCCTGCAGGGATGAAGGCTCTGAACTGGTATATTCGAAAAATATGTTATTATTGTTTGATTTGCATACAATTTGGGGTAATAGTAGTTTTGGGTCCAATTTACCTTTCTGAATTTTTTTTCTTCCGAGTCAGGGATAGATATGTTCGAAAAAAATTGAGTTTACTTTTTAATCATTTGGTTTACATGAAATTTGGTTCAGTGGCAGCTCTCTGCCTAAGCGGACATGTGGAAACCTTTTTCTTCCTGGACTGAGATTTCTATCTAGTATTTGATTTATGTAAAATAAAGGCCAAGGACAACTTTTAAAAGGGATCTTGAGTTTACAATAAAAAGTTCAAAACAGTTTAACGATAACATTAAAAACTTGATTAAAAAATACGAGAAGCAATTAGAGAAGTGTTTCACAGATGGAAAAAAGTGAGAGAATTTCGCAAAAACACCTGCATATTTAAAAAATTAGTACCAAGCTCTAAATAAATCATCACAATATATTATATTAAATTGTCAAATGGCAGGAGTTACTGTGTTGTTAGCAAGCATAATCCGGCTGACATTGCCAATAGTGTCAAGAAAAACGCGAGCGGTTGAAGTTAAAGCATACGTGAAGCGATTTCATTTCTGGCCTTCAGAAAAAAAAACTCAGCCTCTCCAAAAGTATGAAAACCCTTTAAGAGAAGGAGTTACTGCCGGGCACTTCTCAGAACCGTTGCTTAAAATAGGAAAGGGCGACAATAGTCTCGATTGTAGGTGAGTTTATGGTTGAATTTTACCCAAACTTAAATAATATTCAAGATTATTCGAATATCAATATAAATTCGTTGACTCAGTGATACCGACGATGCAATTCATTATCCGGTAGAGTTTCTAAATATACTAAAGCCTACCGTCATCCCAACTATAATATTTAAATTAAGAGTTGGAACACCAATATCCTTACTGCTTAATATAATAACACCAAAATTGTGCAATAGTTTCAGATTACAGATCCAAGTATTGCAGCCTAGTTTGTGACTGCTTGGCGAAAACCTTGCTTTTTAGCTTACTGCGCAAAAAGAAGTCTGGTGATCTGTCTGATGGTGCCTTTTTGATGCTATATTTTTTCCAATAAGTACGTTAAGTGAGCTCCATGTTCGATGTAAAGTGTCACTATTTGTTTCGGCTTGAAGCGATCCATGGCAAAAATTGTGCTCAATTGACGTTTTCAAAACATATGTGATGCAATTGCTCGGTTGGTAAATGTGAATGTTATTGAGCGTTTACATACCGACATATAAGATAGAGCACCCCTTATATTATTTGTAAAAACTTATATATATATATATATATATAGAAGCGGATATTCTCCTTATTATATACATAGCCTTTGGAAAGTGGTTGATATCTACCTGCGCAGAAATTGTGTTTAAAAATTCAAAGTGGAGATAAGGTGGGTCATTTAAAAAAAAATTATAGGAAATTTGAGTGAGTGTTTTCTATGAAAAATTTCTTAGAAATTAAAAAGATCTTTTGCGATTGTTAAAAATTAGATATTTATAACATAAAGTAGTTAGTTTTATTTTCTAATGATAAATGAACACTAGACTTTCATTTTAAATTTTCAAAAGTTTTAACTATGGTTTCATTACTAAGTTCAACATATCTTATTCTTGTTGAGGCAAACGTCAAGGTTCGACCATTATAAGGTTGACGAATTTGGTTCTATGACGACAGCAGTCATCTTCACTATAAACTTTGAAATATATGTAATAAATTTTATACTGTCAGGTAAATAATGGTAAGGATATACTATATATTGTGCGGATTAATTGGTTTAACCAATTTAAAACGGTTATTAGGTGGAAAATGCGCCGCACTTACTAATTTGCTTTGAAAATGATGGAAGTTCAGTTGATCACATAACTTATGAGAAACAAAATATTCAGTGAAGTTCATGAGAAAACCAATAACAGTTTTCGCAAGCTTGGGATCCAAATCTTAGGCGTAATATTTATGTCTGAAATATTCTCTCAATAGCTTTGCATTTTTGGTAAATTTCTTTGAAAAACGAATCTCTTTTACTTCCATCTTATTTATAATTACTGTTTCGGTGTAAGTTTCCAACAACATTCTATTTCGGCAATATTAGAAAAACTTTGAACTTAATAAATATAAGTTATATATTATAAATTCGAAATATTGGGCAACGCTTAAGAATGTTGTGATTAGTGGTTCATTACAGAGATGCTCAATTAACGAAAGATGTCATTACGTTTTGCTAATATGGAACATAAACTTATCAAAATGAGGTTATTTCGTTTCGGTGCCATATTATCGAAACGTAATGAAATTGTTAATATTGTGATCGCACAAACTCGTTAACGTTAATTTAAAAACGGCTGCCTGCTATGATACTAATAGCACACTTCAATTTTAACATTTACCATTAACGTTAACGATTTAACATTTTCTGTTAACAATTTAACATAAGCTGTTAACGATTAAACAATAACGACAGCTTTTCGTTTCGGGTAACAATGAAGAAAAAAAAGAAATTTATTTCGATAACTGCTTTAACGTTAATATTTCGAAATATTTCAACTGAATTGATGAAATTTATCGCTAAAGAGCACTCATTAGATTTGGCCAGAATCATAACTTTAAATATAACTCAAAGACACTAGAAAATATTTTGCTTTCCTCAGCTCCGCTGGGACTCATTCTAGTATTGTCGAAATGTAAAATTAAATTATTTTCGTAAATGATTTTTCAACTGGCATAATAATGGCAGTTTGTTTTCTTTTTTGTATGTTAAAGTAGTGGAAAAATGTTATTGTTATTGCTGAAAATCGTCTCCATAATTTGCAAAACTTTTACAATTTTGCTATGGTAAAACGGAATGAAAATTTTTGAATGCACTACAAAATTGTAAATTTATGACAATTTGTATTAAAACCATAATGGCAGAGGCACATGCAATGGGGAGAACTACTAAAAAACAAACATACGTACGAGCTGCATTTTTTTTGGGGGTTCTACGTAAAAACAATACCATTTTGGGTATGAGCAACTACAGGCCAAAAAATTTTACCTGCAGTACTATATTCGAATATAAAAAAATAAATGAACATGTCAACGATTTCTAGGTATGGGGTCTTCGACTTAGTGTCTCTTAAATTTATTTCCACCAACAATAACAATCACCGAAAAAAAAACTTTAAATAAACAAACCACACACCAAGGCGACAGTTAAACTGAATTATTAGCAGTTTAGGTTAGCCAAGCCTGTAGGTGGTGTGCCGCTCGCCTAGCACATACATATGCATACGTGTTACGAGTATGTACTATGCGTTCCCATTGAAGATGCGCCGAGAGAAATATGGCAAAAGTATTCAATGTACTTTTAAGTTTGACTTGCTGTAACTACATGTGTATATATGTATGTCTTTATGCCAGTTTGCTTGCATTCTGGATAGAAGAAGTTTTCAAACCGTTGGTAAACATTGTTTATAAGTGAACTTATATTAGTTGTAAAGTTTGGCCTTTTAAATAAAACTAGTATAATGCGTAGCTGAAACTGTAGCCGATGCAAGAAGTTGAGCAACTGTGTATGTCCAATGGGATTTTGCGGAAGTTTTTAGTGGCAAACAAATATAAAATATGACCGTCAGTTGAGAAAATTTATTTTCCTGTGGGAAGAACTGCTTTGCTAAAATGCATAAAGGTAAAGGCTATATATGTTTGTGGAGTTAAATTTTGCCCATTATTAAATATATTACTAAAACGCAGTTAGTTAGCCATTTTCAAAAATGCATTTCGCTCAAATGGGTGAAAAGTGCTTTTGTTCAAAACAAAGTCTCCTATCGGACTAAATTTTAAAATGGAAGCTATTTTAATTAAAAACTTAGTTCTCCTAAATGCATATTATTCTCATCACAGGTGGAATAATTCGAATATCGTTATATACACTGACAAATTTTTGCCATTTCGTGGGTAATTTCTCTGTCATAGAAACCTTTCTTCTGAATTCAATTCTTCATTAGCCAAACCATACACCAACAGATAGTAATCATGCATGCAAGCGCCAGAAGATGTTGTCGTTGTCCTTGACCGGATAAAAACTATTTGATTTTGGATTGCCTCTTACGGCGGGCATGCTTTACGGCGGGTAAATTATTTAACCCTAAAAGGGCAGATGTAAGCGCCATAAAAACTGATAGCTTGGTTTGTAGATTCTGATACATCATACAGGTAGCGCGCCACTACCGATGTGTGTGGTCTGGCGTTGTCTTGTTGTAGTATATTCGCCTCTTGTGGACCAAAGCTGGGCGTTTCCGAGCGACTGTGTCCTTTAGACGGGTCCGTAAAAAAATAATGGCCATAGGATATGGCCAATCCCAATAAACACACAATAAAATCTGTTTAGCTGCCAATCCTGGCCTGGAGACCGTTTGTGCCAGCTCACAGCCCTTCGACCATGTCTATTTTCCTTCGACGTTGCTGTAAGCGATCCACTTTTCATCATCATTCATCATCCTTAGGTTATGGACGACTGCACTGTTTTATTGATATTTTCGACGATTAGCGTTCCACACTTCATTTACAAAACAAAATCGACGAAACCATGAGTTGAAGGTGTATTTTAGACCGAAAGAAGCAAGGCCAAATTAAAAATAATAATGTACAGCTGTGTATAAAAAGTAATGCTGCTAATATACATTCATATATTGTTAGCTGCAACTCTCTATAGAGCGTAAATATGTATGAGTGCCCACTAGCCGTAAGTTGTAGCAAAAAGTTTGGTTGGCCAAACGATGACTGTTGCCTCCAACTATGCGGGCATGCTGTAATTTGAAGTACATCACACTAAGCCTGTGTATGTGTGCATGAGTGTGCGTGTGTATACTTTCTAGTATGTGTGGCATACGCAAAAATTGTTGTGACATATTTCCTGCGGTCTCACTATGTGGTGTACGAAAGTAGCGTCTAAGCTGCTCCATATGGTCAGCTGTAATGTAGGCTGCTTGACGAATTTTCCACTATTCTCATAATTGCTGGTGGTGTTGGTGTTGTATTTATTGCACTTCCTGTCATCGCTGCTATTACATTATGCACCTGTAATTATGCTTAATATCCAAGTTGGAGCGTTAAGGCATGTCAGTAGCCTGGACAACTCGTGCTTTCATGGCTTTCCTCCGTTCGAAGCTCATATGCATTAATATACATATGTGTGTGTGTGTGAGGAGTGATTATGTGTGTCGTTGTTTTGTTTATTTGCCTTCCGTTCAGTATGTAGCCAAAAGAAGTCACTAAAAAAACAGCTGATACTTTGCACCGAGGCAAACTTTCGCACACAAAACATCCGCAACCAAGTAAGAGACACACTCACTTGCATGTAAATTTACATGTAATTAGCCTTTAACTACCACAAATCACCATTTCTCGCTATTTACATACACATAAACAATATATGTACATACACCAAAGATATTTGGAATGTGTGAGGATGCGTGTATGTAAAAATGTGAGATTATATATGTTCTAAACTTTTCCGCATATTTATAACAGTTTGAGTGCCCATTGGTCGCATTATGAGTCCAGGGAAAGCACTTATGTACATACCCATATGGAAATATTTTGATATTTAAATATATATAACCGTAATAAAGCGATAATATTAATTTTGTCATCCAATTCAGTCTACATTTACACCCACAACTACCAATACGTCATTAACTATGTGCATTTTAATATAATTTTTTGGTTCAGTTTTTGCATATTTCAGGGCCTTTATACATACGCATGTAATTAAAAGTTTTACACTCAAATATTTATGCAAATAAATAGCTTGAAAAGGGATTTTATTTGGTAGTACAAAATTAGCATGCGAAAATTTTAATGAAAGCTAGCCCCTGGATTTGTATGCATTGCTGCATGCTGCATTTTTTGTTATTTTTCTTCATTGACGTGGTCACTGCGCCATTTTGTTCTTCTCTTTGCACCACTAAGAAGCGCTAAGTGAAACCAGGTCACTCTCTATATGATTCTTCCAGCGGAGTGAATGCCTTCATCTTGCTCTTCTTCCACCGGCGGGTACTGCATTGATGTTGACACCGTCGACGTTTCTTCAGGGAGGAAATGGTGAGAAGTTTGCTTTTGGATTCCCGAGAGAGGACTTTACATTTCAATTGCCTGCTCTGTGGGCAAATACTATTCTGAGCTATCTACGAGCTGGTGTAAAGTGGATTTTATAGGTCTAAAACTACTCTATATGGTTCAGTCAGTTTTTTGATGACGGTTTTTGGTCTTTCGCACAATTAGCACAGGAGAACCTTATTTGAGATATTAGGAGGCTAATCCCATGGTTATTGGGCAGACCGTGGGATCCCCTATTACTGGATTAGGCAGAGTATATTTAGGTTCCAATCGACAGGCATTCTTTCCTCCGACGATATTTTGCATCACCTTGTCAACTCTTTACCGCCATGTTCTAATATCTCAACTGGTAAGCCACTGGCTCCAGTCGCTTTGCTATTCCTTAAGCGGGGAATCTCTACTCTAACTCGTCTTGATCTTGTAATGAATCATCTTTTTCATCATAATTGATTAGTGTTTCGTGTTCGCCTTCTCAGGATGTTGCTATTTCAATGCCTTTCAGCGGGGTAGACAAGTGTTCCCTCCACACACCACGTACGCTCTGTACATCGGTCACCAGATTTCCGTATGCTTTGGTCTTGAAACCTTTGGTTAGTCGCCGCATATTTTCATAGAATTTTCAAACATTACCCTTGGCGGCCAGCTTCTCAAGCTCCTCGTAATCACGCATCTCAGCATTTTTCTTTTTTGTCTGCAGATGCATCTTGTTTCCCGCTTCAGCTCCCGGTATCTATCCCATAACTCACGTATTGTGGTCAATAGGCAGTCTATGTGCGAGTAATGCAGTCTGTTTTCTATCCACTGGACATATTTCTTGCTCCACTTGCAACATGATCGCTAGCGAAATTATCGATCCGGCTTGTTGCGGTTAAGCTTAATTTTCTAGCCCGGGAATGCAGTACTACAGAACAGTGCGCAATGCTAACCAAATTGCTATCGCAACCACTTTCACATAACTGCCTTGAGCAGAGTTACGTACGTGATTTCAGTTAAAACTATGGATATAGCATTTAAGTTAATATTTATTAAGTTTGCTCTTTTACGAAATCAAAGTGATACAAACTATTTTGATCTTATTTTTTTACCGAATTATTTTTACCGAATAAAAGTAAGGTACGGGTATGGTACTAAAAATAAAATTTTCACATTTGTCTTTAGGCGGGTTTTATTCTACGCACTCACCTCTCGTCCATTTATCGTCCATGTGAGATTTGCTGCTGGTTTGGAATGTCGCGATGTTCAATTACCCCGTCTCCAAGACGGTATCGTGATTTTATGCCGGTTATAATATGATCTTTTCCTGGTACTTCTGAAACAATGGAGACTAGATTAATGGTATACAAGCACATATCAGCAAGAAATATATTTTTAAGTTTTAATTTCTCGTTTCAAATGGTTTTTGCTTTTTTTTGTAAAAGAACAAAATTAAATTAAGTGAACAACGACACTTAAAACTGGTCACCTTTGCAAATAAACTAATCATGTCCCTGAAAAAGTCACAAACCTAACGACTTGCAGTAATCCCTCTGTCATCAGTTAACTAAACATTAGCTGTGCCGACAAATTCATTATCCAACGCTATGAAAGCGGGTCGAAGATGAAAGTTTAAACGTCTAAAAATATGTGTTGCAGCACTATTTAAAACTTTTTATTGTACTTTTGTAATAGGAATGCAGGTGAGAAAGCATAAACATTTACTGTACTGTTGAAGCGGAAAAGTGTACGATAGAGAAGGGGTTGGCGAGAAGAAGTAGTAGGAGGATGATGCTGATATAGTACATTAAATGAATAAAAGTTTGAATGCGAAAATTGGCAATTAAAAGGCGGCCAGGCGACAATTTGCAGTGAATAAAGAAAATAAATAGATGGTCATTAGCTGATATTGCATACTACACCGAGACAAATTGCAATAGATATAGTAACAGTTCGCATTGTTGATATAAAGCAATCGTTGAACTCATTTGTTTCTGCAAACTGTTCTGTAAAATTCCATGCTGTTTTAACAGTCCATATCTGTTAATTATGGTGAGAAAAAATTTCAAGATAATCAAAAAAGATCTATCGGTCTATCGGTTGAAAAATTTGGAAATGTTATCGTTAATGAAGTTATCAGAACGGAATGCTGTCGTTAATGTTAAATCTTTAACAGTTAGTGTTAAATGTAAGAATTTGAGTGAGCTGTTAATACCATATCAAGCGGTCATTTTAAGATTACAGTAAACGATGAGTTCATTTCGTTTCGATAATATGTCGCCAAAACGAATCAAGTTATTTTGTTAATTTTATTTTTCATATTAAGCGAAACGAAATGATGTCCCTCCGTTAGTCCAGCATATCTGTCAGAAATCATTCTCCAACAGTGTCAGTGTTAATTTGCTGGTATGTTCATATTTAACAAAAAAAAGGTTGACAAAACAAGTAGTTAAAGGGGCCCTCCCCTTATCAGGCAAAGTTTTTTTTTTGTGGGGCAATGCAAAGACGTACGAACTTTTGGTTTTGACTATTAAATTTATTTATCGTTTAAAATTTTTAAACGGCAAAAATCAAAATGACGACTACAAAATGGCGCTCTGGGTCTCTGCCTGAAAATCATGGCGCAGCAACGTCAAGCCTACAGCCTCTTGTAGTGAACTGAAATTGCTGTTACTTGAAGATCATGAAATTTTATACGTCCTGAAACTCAATTGAAGCATTTTTAGCTATAAATTTATTGCATTATTTTTATATTCACTTGAAATACGTTAAAAAATATAAATAATTAATTAATAAAGGTTAGCATTAATCCTTTGCTTTAAGACAGGTTTTAGATTAAAGAAATCGGACGAATAGATCAAGCCCGCGGCTTAAAGTTAGATCGGAAAACATGGTTTTGAGAAAAACCAGTGGTGGGGGGTCCCCTTAAGCCAACAGAAAATTTGTCGAATTTTCTAAAACAGCAATATTTAATTCCATTGACTACTGCTTCGTATGTACAATAGCTTGATAGTGATGTTGTTTATGGTGATGGATTCGATTTTATTTCTATGTGAAAGCAAAGAAGTAGAAGGGACGAAAGCCAATATTAGAGTTTTCTCGTATTAAGAAGAAATCAAACTTCGGAAAAACAGACGCTTAAAGTCATATACTATTTTTGTACTTCAAAACTAATATTTTTAGTTTTTTTGTTAATTTCTAAACAGTGGTTTGGCAAATGATGGAATGACGCTGCTATAACGATATCGATCTACTTTAAACGATCTACTTTTGAACATGGAGAATGAGTAAAGCAGTCTCGAGGCCAGGCTGAAATTCACGGATAGTTCAATAGAGGAAAAAAACTAACATAATATTCATCGAAAAGAGGGGAAACAATATCCACATTCAAAATCGATATTTTACTGATTATTCAGGTTATATTTTTCTAAATTCTTTTTCAAAAATTAATGATTAGTGGCAATTTGTAAAATCTGTATATCAAATGGGTTCCTTATTTGTTGACAAAGTGGGAGATTTTCGTACTATTTCTACGTGGTTTTTATAAAGAACAGAATTTGGGGATATGCAGAGCTCGCTACAAGTAAACAAGTTTTCTGTATAAATAGTAATAACTTTAAATATATAATAATGAATGCAAATATAGATTTTTAGATACCAGAGCGAATATAATAACTTTACTATGAAATGTCTTCATTACAGACATTTCAAGGTACACAATGAGACTCCTATAAGAAGGGTAACCACTAAGGATGGATCGGATCTCTTTATGATCCATACGAGCTCTGCATATATTTTAAGAAAGGTTGGTCAAACTGAAAGCACGTGCAACTCATCGCAATCGTTTTTTTTTTTAAGTTTTCATAATATTTTGCGGAATACCGTAAAGATATTAGAGTATTTTTTTTTAGGTATATACGACTGGTGTTCAACGAGATATGTACGTGCATGTACAAATATCTGGAGTTATGTAGGTCTTCATTGCTCCCTTTATGGTTTATTTGTCGGACAGTCACTATCAATCTCATAGCTTTTTAATAAACTTTTCGACATTCTTTTCTCCATTTTTATTTTATATACAATTTCTTTGCCTCGTACACATTTTTCTCGCTCTCCATTTTTTCACTACACTGAGTAGAAGGGAAAAGTTGACGACCAGTAGCTTCCATTTGCATTCCTGGCTACTGGTAATCTGGCGCAATTTATATTTGAAATACTTTTACTGTTTTGTTTGTCTTTTACCGGTGCCGCAAAAGGCAAGAACTTTCATTAAAAAACAATATTTATTTGAATCATAAAATTGGCACTCGTAAAGTCAGTCTCTTCAGGTAAGTATTGTACGTTTGGTAGTATATTATTTCAGTGAAGCACATTTGAAAAGTTTTTTTGTGAAATGAGTAATTAAGTGAATTTTATTTCACACTTTTTTTTTGTTACAGATTTCTATCTCTTTGAGATTGGTGGAGGAGTTAAGTTATGGATTACATTACTATGCTAAATAATTCTTCACCAATTTCGGGCAGTTTTAGAAAGGCTCAAACTTGCCATGGGACCAGAAGAATAATCAAATTATTTTGACTATTGTCAAACAGTGGAAAAATTTATATTTTCAAAACAGAACAGGACAGCCTCACACTCATGATACAAAAAGCACATAATTTTTTTCCGAAATTATAATCATCTGGCATAAAAAAGATTTATTGACTTTTGTTATATTTTTATGCTACCAATCTCATTTTTTTAAAAATAAAATTTAAACTTTCCAAATTTAAAAAAATATTTAGAAAAAATGCAAAGCTTTTAATGTAAACAAAGAAATAAAGGAAAATAAATCGTATTTACAAAAAACTGCAAAGCTTTGCATTGTATATTCTGAAATCTAATGCAAATAAAACTATTTTCAGGCGCCCTAACATTAAAAAAAAGATATATGAAATTTTTTTAAAGTGTCAATATCTTGAAGATAAAATGAAAATGAGATATATTGTCAAAAAATATTTCTCTTACAAATTTATGTTGGGTGAAACTACCTTCCTTTTATGTGTGAAATGCTTACATTAAGTACCTGGAGTGAAATTTGGTTTTCATGAATTTTTATAAGCAAACAAAAAATTTTTTGGAACTACTTCGTCGATACAAACTCAGTATGCTTCAATCGAATATACGTGTATGTTCCAGACTCAAGAGTTTCAAAAGTGCAGCGCCGTATTTTGACATCTATCAAGCCCAAACATTTTTTGTTTTAGTTAAAAGTCAGACATTTGTGCGTTAAATTCTTGTTGTTGGCCATAATCAAGCAATTGTTAACACGGAGCGTTATCATAATATGATAACTCATTTGTTTTGGCATGCATTTGAAGAACACGAAGAACGAATATTGCTTTATTTCGAGAGAAATTTACCGGTCGTGTAATCTTTCGTCATTGCTACCAAGATCGTGCGATTTGACACAGTTAGACTTTTTTGTAGGGCTACGCGAAAGACCGTGTTTATGTTAATAAGTCTTGACTCATACAGATCAAAGTTTGCAGGACTTTGCATGGCTGTCATTTGAACGATGCAGTTTTTAACAAATAATGTCAACTTAATAATAAGAAAGGAAATTCATGAGTATTAATATTTTATATGTATTTCATTCACGCTTATTTTCGAAACCGTAAAATAGATAATTTTTTGTGAAGCTCTAAAATCAGAAAGATAAATAGAAGTTATATAATATTATAAGCTGCAAACAGATTCAAATTTAAAAAAATACCAATCGCTCTCTAAAAAGTAACAATAAATCGAAATACTTTTTATAGACATTAAATGCTGTTTATTGTGGTTTAATTATACGTTCTTAGTGATTTTATTTTTTCATTGATATATCTATTACGATGCTGTTAACTGTTGTGTTTACTGCCACGGCCAATATGCAAGTATATTTTATTGTGGCTCTTCTGAATGCGGCTGTACTTAATGCGAACAATTTCGTAAATTTTGAAATTAATGACTTTTATTGCTATAAATTTTCATGTTGTCGACGTTTGTTTGAAATGAGGAAACGAGATTATTGAAAAACTTTTACTAGTCATTAAGTATGGTAACATGGCTTTTGGCAGTGCTGAGAGGACATGAATGCAAAGAGCTTAGTGATTACATACAAACTATAATGGCAGGTAATAAAATTTCGGTGCAATGCATTTTCTAAACAGTTGAATTGAAAAGTTCGTGCAACTTTTTGGATTCATTGTTGTATTATCTAAAAAAAAAGCAAAATTGCCACCTTTGAATTGGAAAGTTTGGTGTGGTTTTTTGTGCCGGTAAAATTATCGGTCCATATTTCGTCAAAAGTGG